TTTATATGAAATGTCCTGAATAGGCAAATCAATGGAGACAGAAAGTAGATCCGTGGTTGCCTGGGGCTAGAGGTGGGCAGGAGTGAGGAGTAACTGCTGAGTGATATGGGATTGTGTGCATGTGGTGATGATAATGTTCTGAAATTAGACATGATAATGATCTGGAATTAGACAGTGGCAATGGTTGTACAAACTTGTGTGTATACTAAAAACCATTGAATTGTATACTTTTAATACATACGTTTTGTAGTATGTGAGTTATATATCAATTAGATGTTTTAAAAAATAATTCCTTTAAGTTAGGGTATTTTTTCCTATTCAAAAAATATGAGGAGCAGGGAATTTTTTAATATTGTATAAGGGTAACTCAGGTGTCTGACCCTTTACATGGGCAACTAGCTGGAAGCAAGACTGTCAGAGTTTTCTTAGGCCTGATAAGGAAACACAATGACCGAGCACAAAGGAAGACACACTTAAAAGCGACAGTACCCTGAGGGAGCCTGGGTCTCCAGGAGGAAACCCAAAGGCGCTGACATCTGAAGAAGGTGAAAGGAAGAGATACAGAATATTTCATATGTTTCATAACTTAATATAATAATAATATACTTAATAACTGCTATTCCTAGCTTCATTGGGGATCATGTCTTCTGTTACATTATCAGGCGCCAATGAAACAAGCACTTGTAAGGGTTAGTTAAGCTCAAACATTTACTGAACACATACGATGTGAGACACACCATGCTAGGCACTGGGTCATAAAGATGTATGACGCGCTCTGCCTTCATGATGCTTATAGTCTTATGTCTTATTGACAATAAAAACAGGTGATAGAAGGTGAAATAAAGAAGGTAAAAACAGAAATAATAAAGCTAGTGTTCATGTTAGTTGAATAAGAGACAAATAAGGACAACATATATAAAATGAATGATAGATTTTAAGAAATCTCAGTCTAACCACGTTACACTGGGTAAGGTATTTGAACTTTTATCGATGCAGAGCGTAGGGAAAGGTGCAGGGACTCTTCTGGTTTGCAACAAGGCACAAAGGGGAAACAAACATTTTCTGCATAAACATGATTAGAGAATGGTAAAGGAGGCTACTTCAGTCAGTTAGTTGGATAAATATTTATTAATATCAGTATTTGTGTCAAACATGGTTCTGGGTAGTAAGGGAAGTCCTTTATCCTGGGAAGAAAGAAGGCCAGTTTTCAAATAATTAACAAACTGGAAAGCCTGCTTCGTTTTGCCTTTAAGTGTAGAGGCAGAAGTGGAAATGGACGGCCTTGATATCCATGTGTGACCCTTGCTATGTCAAGAACAGTCATATCAACTGGCCAGGAATGTAGGCATATAAGTAGTCCAGAGAGAGTGTTCCTTCATGTAATATCACGGAAAGTAAGTGATGATTAAAAGAAATATAATGCTCTGGCATCCTAATGAGTTCATGCTGTAAGTCTTAGGACACTTCAATGGGAGTTTGATGGGGAAGTAAAGACTTATATTCAATAGGAGAACTTTAATAATTTTCTTATCTTTTTCATTTCTATAGCGGACATCAATTTGGATATATCAAAGCCTTTAAAAGCAAACCTGAGTTTTACCAAACTGGATCAGATAAACCATTTTTTAAAGAAGATAAAAAGTGCACATGGCTTGGCACATAGCAAAGAGACTTCAGCTCTGTCAGAAACCATGTTGAGTAAGGATGAGCTTCTGGTCTCCAAATGTTACCGTGGAAAGTTGTCTAAACCTAAAGTTCATGGTGACGGAGTACAAAAGATTTCAGTTCAAGAAAACATGTGGAGAGCTGTTTCCTGCTTTCAAAAAATTTCTGTCCATACTACTCAGATTGTGATCTCCATGGAAACTGTCCCCCATCCTAGTAAACCATGCCTGTTAGCATCTCTATCAAACCTCAATGGAAGCCTTAGTGTGAAAGCAGCGCAAAAAGTACCTGGTAAGTCACAGAAAAGGGGAGGGCGAGAGAGAGAGAATAATGAATATAATTTGTCGACATCTGAAAATGCATCATTTTAAAGATTTATATCATGCAGAAGTTAAAAGTTTTAAAGGCCATTAGAGATGGGGATATTTTTGGCTTGTGACCTTATTTTAATGATAATTTTAGAATAAATCCTTTGAGCCTTGGTACTTTAATGTCTAAGCTGAACTGCTTCTATCGGCTTCTTGAGGCTTGTGCCTATAGATGTCTTTACAATTGTTAATTCCTGACTTTCTTTTTACCTAAAATAGCTGTAGTGGAACAATAGTGGTTCATCTTTTGTGAACCATTAGAATAGTGATTCTCAAAGTGTGATCTCCAGGCCAGGCACAGTGGCTCATGCCTGTAATCCTAGCACTTTGGGAGACTGAAGTGGAAGGATCACTTGAGGCCATCAGTTTGAGACCAGCTTGAGCAACCTTGTGAGACCTATGTTTAAAAATTAGCTGGGCGATTGGATTGCTTGAGCCTAGGAGTTTGAGGTTGCAGTGAGCTATAATGATGCCACTGCACTGCCTGGGCAACAGAGCGAGACCCTGTCTTCAAAAAAAAAAGCACGAGATCTCAGAACCAGCAGCATCAGCATCACCTTGGAACTTGTTAGAAATGCAGATTCTCAGACCCCACCTCTGACCTACTGAATCAGAAATTCTGGGCATGGAGCCCAGCAATCTGTACTTCAATAAGCCCTACAGGTGATTCTCATGCACTGCGTTAAGTCATTGGTAACAATTTATTTAAAAAGGAAAAATTGCTGCGGTGGCAGATATGCTACACAAAGTGTAATAGAAGCCAAGATTCAACTTTCCCAGAATGCCATTAAGGTGTTTTATCAGGCAGCAACACCTGGCAAGGAAAGGCTGTGCTTCTGTGCCTAGCCTAGCAAAGAGAGGCAGGGACCCTGCAAACTGAATGTCATTAATGGGTGGAGAGGTGAGAAATTAACTAGCAGTGACATCTCCATTTTCCTTTTCTGTTACCATGCTAAGTTGTTATGTGCTTTTTCACACCGAATCAAAAAGGGTGGGCAGAAGAAATGTGAGGGGGGAAGAGAGAAGGCAAGACACAGGTGGGAAATAGCAGTTTTCAATCACAGAAACTGCTACTGTAAAAGTTCAGGGCACAATGCCAGAAATTTTTCTCTAAAAATAGCAAAAGGGAACCATCTTTTTTTCCATTTTAATTTGCA